ATTATTATAATAAGTATTCGATATGATCATGCTATGACGTTTATAAATTTACTATGCACTTTATTTTTTTATTTTTTTTATTGCAACGTGATCATTAATAATAACTCTTGGATTATTTATTATTTCTTTTTAAAGGTATCCAAGAAATATTTGCACGAGGAAAATAATTGTTCAAAGATTCAAATATAAATTGTTATTGGTATCAGTGTATATATCATGTTATTATATCTACGCTCACGCTTTTTTTTTTTTTTATTCTTACCTTTTCGTAAAAATACTTTTCAACTTCATCGTAGTACTTAATCTTGATGTTCATTCCGATAGAATGATTAGATTGGCGTGTACGAATTTATTACGGGTTTTTAAATATTGAATAACATTGAGGTTCTTCTTGCGAAAGCACTCAACTTTTTATTTCACGATAGGTTTTAATAATAAGTTTTTAATAATAATGGCTCTTAAATCATTATTGTCAATAATGTTTCTCAAGTAGTTTCGCGAGGCTCCTCAATCTTCAAAGTTTTTGTTTCGATGTTTCAGCCGACATTATTCGAATATCGAAAATTAAAGCTAATTATACAATCGTTAATAATTGTCTCTTGACCACAAGAGTGTGTGGGCGGTTAAATTTCTTCCTACGGGTTTATTATAAATTACTGTTACTCTCGTTCCAATTAAAAACTCACGTACAATAAAATCCTGTTAATATTATTCATATTCTTCTTTTTCTTTTTTTTTTCTTTCTTTTTATTCGCGTGATTAATTCAAGGATTGTATAAATTTTCGACAATACTTTAATAACAATACGAATTCGAATATATCTTTATCACAATGTATATTGTTTTAATTGATCAATATCGTATTTGAGATAATAATTCGTGTTAAGTTATATTGAGAATAATTAAAAAAAAAAAAATAATAATGAAAATAATAAAAATAATAAAAATTAATGAATAGGTATCATAGGGAATTTGTATATTCAAAAGAACTAGAATTTCGTTTTGATTAGTTAACTAACTAATTATTACTAGTTATTATTATTATTATTAATATATTATTATTTACATTTAACATATTTTTGGACAAGAATATTGATAATTAAATTATTATTATTATTAGTTAAGTAAATAATTATTAATTAACTAACAACTAATCAAAACGAAGTTTTAGTTCTTTTGAATGTTCAAATTCTTTCTAAAATACCTATTTATTAATAATTTTATTTTTGGACGAGAGAAAGAAATAATTGAATAATAAAAATGTTTGCTTACCAATGAGATGACCCTCGTAAATATGCGAGGTATCAAGTTCCTCTTGACGTCCATTAGGACCTTCTATAACTAGATTATTGCTAAACGTTTTCAGGTCTCGCTTCAGTCGAATGTGAAAGTCTCTGTTATGCGAACGAAACTTTAAAGTCACGAAATTGTCGCGGGTGACCGACCTCTTGGCCCTCAGGTGACCTCTGTGGACCTCCTCCGTTGGATAGGAAAGTGGTTCGTAATGACGAATATATTCGTTTAATCGCCGAGCTGAAACAAACGAGAGATCATTCATTTATTTTTTTTTATTAATTTTTTAACTATATTTTAATTCATATTTTATAAAAATAAAATTTATTGCACGTCGCATTTTCTATATTTTTTTTTTTATGTTTTATCATTAAACACGAGTTCGATCAATAATGTAATTTGAATTTAATATTATTTCTATTGAAATAATAAATTAAAAGCAGGGAATATA